CTTCATTTGGGTTTCAGTAATTCCTCTCGGTTACATTGCCCTTGATCAAGCCCCACCTCACATCCTATGCCCTCCTTGCCATCAGTTTTAGATCACTTGTTGTTCCCGTGTCCCTGAGTTGGTTGACAACCACTTCTTTTCCCCACCCGCCTCTCCAGTGTCCCCACGCTCTGTCAGTCCCATTGTCTTCTCCCCCAGATTGTTTATCCCACCTATCTTATCTAGATAGCCATGCAGAGACAATAATAAGCACAAAAACAAGACAGAGCAAAACAAAGCAACAAAAGAAAACGAAACAACAAAGCAATGACAAGAAAATAAAAACCTATAAATAGTTTTAGGTCTGTTTGTTGACATTTAGGAGTATTTTCTGGTGGAGTCTGATGGGGTGCCATGCCCTGGTATCATTTTAGGTCTGTTTGTTGACATTTAGGAGTATTTTCTGGTGGAGTCTGATGCGGTGCCATGTCCTGGTATTCCCCGGGGACTTCATTGCTTTGCTCCCCTTGCTGCTCTGTTGCTCCCCCTTAGAGTGTGGCCCTGGTGTGGTGGGGTCAGATTGGGCACAATTCCCGCACTGCGTCTCTCCAGTATTGTCCCCATGTTATGTCTGGTGGTGGGACTGGCCCTATGTCCTCTGTGCACTGGCTGCTCTGAGCAGGAATATCGTCCTCGGGGCTTGGTGGGCCAGGATGTGTTCCACTCCCTCTCCTTCCCTCTTTGTTTGCTCCTGTGTGCTCTGATCAGACGCGCCCCTCTCCCTGAGCTGTAGCTTCAGTGCTGTCCTCTGATGGGAATTCTTCTTGGGGGGTGGGGTGAGCGGCTGGTCTCTCTTGTTAACACGTCCAAAGGTTAAGAGATAAAGTCTCACACTTCCAAGGAGCATTCTGACTGTGCTTCTTCAAAGGCTGATCTGTTTGTTTGTTGCCAACACTATGACTTAAAGACATCGATTCTTCTGCAGTCTTCTTACTGGTTCATTGTTCAACTTTCACATGCGGATGAGGTGACTGAAAACACCATGAAGTGAGTCAGGCACACCTTAGTCCTCAAAGTGACATCCTTGGTCTTCGACACTTTAAAGAAGTCTGGTGCGGCAGATTGCCCAAGGTAGCACATCTTTTGATTTATTCACTGATGCTTCCAAGCAAAATTAAATCCTGGATGACTTTAATATTCTCTCAATTTATCATGATGTCATCCATTGGTCCAGGAGCCCGGGGGCATAGGGGTCACTCATTTGGTTGCTAACCGCCAGGTAGTTGGAAACTACCAACTTGTTCCTCCGGAGAAAGACTCGGCTCTACAATCTTGGAAATCACTGGGGCAGTTCTACCCTGTCCTCTAGGGTCACCATGAACTGGAATGGACTCAATGGTAGTGAGGGTTTTTTGTTGGTGTTGTTATTGGTCCAGTTATACGGATTTTGGTTTTCTTTACACTGTTGCAACCCATAACCAAAGCTGGATTCTTTGACGCTCATCAGCAAGTGCTTCAGACCCTCCTGCTTTCAGCAAGCAAGGTCCTATCATCTGCATATCACAAGTTGTGCATCAGTCTGGTGAGAGGATACAACCCTGATACACACTTTGCCTGAGTTTAAACTATACACAATTTCTTTGCTCTGCTCGACTGACTGCCTCCCGAGGAGCTATGGATCCGTTCTGCATGAGCACAGCGAAGTGTCCGGGAGTTCCCATTCTTCTCAACATTACCCATAATTTGTTATGATCTGTGCCTTTGCATAGTCAATAAAACACAAGAGAATCCTAAGGGGCAATTCTACTCTGTCACAAGAGGTCACTGTAAATTAAAAATCCACCTGATGGCACCAAACAATAACTTATTTGTGGATATAATCCCATTTGGGACTGGCTGTGTCTTTATGTTAATGAGGCCATTCCAGCCATTCCAGCCTTGGGTGTGTCTTACACCCACCATGTTGAGATACAGAAGGCGCAGTTTGGGCAAGCAAAGACAAATTGAAAATTGATGTCCTAGGGCAGTCACCAAGAAACCCAGGAATAGAAGCTGAAAAGGGACGAAGACCATCCTTCAGTGCCAACGGAGAGAGAAAGCCTGGCCCCAGAGCTGGTACCCTGAACTTGCACTGCTGGCCTTTGAACTGCAAGGAAAGAAATGTATTTTCCCTAAAGCCACTTGTTGGTGGTATTTCTGAAACAGCAGTATTAAGAAGCGAAGATACTCTCCTCCAGCGACCTCCCACGCCTTTATCTCCCCCAGCCAATCACCACGGAGAGCCGGTGCTCCAGGAGTGGAACTTTGGTGTTGTTTGCTGCAAGGAAACAATGGGGATTGCTATCTCCTAAGGGGGTGTTAGAAAGAATTTATAGAATTTAGCTCACGTTAATTTTAAGGAGCCCTGGCAGCGTGGTTATGAGTTGGGCTGGGATCTGCAAGATCTGCAGTTCAGAATCACCAGCTGCTCCTTGGGAGAAAGACAGGGCTTCCTACTCCTGTAAAGAGTTACAGTCTCGGAAACTCCCAGGGGCAGTTCTACTCTGTCCTAGAGTCACTTGGAGTTCCCACTGACTCAATGGCAGTGAGTTTGTTTTTTGAGTTTAGGAGATCTGAGGGTAGATTTAAGGAATCTTAAATGGTGCACACGGTTCACCTGCAAAAGGTTAACCTGCACTAAGATGGTGGTTCGTGTCCACCCAGGTACCTCAGGAGAAAAACCTGGCCACTTAAAAAAAAAGTCAGCCACTGACAAAGCCACAGAGCACCATCCCATTACAACCTTCACAGGGGAGCCACCAGGAAGAATCAGCCGACAGACACTGGTTGGTTTGCTCGAAGCAGAGGTTGCCTTGAAGTAGAAAGGCTGTAGGATTCGAACTGTTGACCTTCCAGTAAGCAGCACAGCATGTAACCCACAAGGCCATCAGGGCTCCTATGGGAATCTCAATAAGCCGTATCCCTAAGATGGTGTAGTGGTTCCCGTTAGAATGGGAATCAAAAGAAAGCGGACCCAGAGCGTGGGTTTCAATGAACAGGTTTTATTGGAGTGAACGACTTGCCCTGTGTTTAGATTGGAATGAGAGTAAAGCCGGAGGGGTGAGGGGAGATTGGAAGGCAAAGGAAAGAGAGACTAGCCGAAAGTAAGAAAGGGAGAGCTAGAGAGAGGAAGGGACAGAGGGAAGGAGGTGCAGCCACACAAAAAGGGGAAGAAAGTCAGAGAGAGGGCGAACAAAGGAACCCTGCGTGCAATAACCCTTTGGGGCAGAAATAAATGATCGTGTCTAAAAGGAGCCTGCGCGTCCCCCCACCCTTCCCCCCTTGGCGGTACACCAGCAGAATGGTGAAGAGAGGGGGAGGTTTCTGTGAGATGTCTTGAGAAGGTGAGGAGTCACGTTAAGTTAGGTGGGGGATGGAGGAGTTAGAGACGCTGCTGCCTATGGCTGAGAACCGTGGACCCGTTAGTGACGGGTTGGGCCGCTAACCACCAGCTGCTCTGCGGGAGAGGGGTCTTTCTAGCCCAGTCAAGAGTTAAGTCTTAGAAATGCACAAGAGGCGGTGTCCTGTCAAGTCGCTATGAGTCAGCATCTCCTTGGAGGCAGTGAGTTTTAAAAAAGATTTTATATAAAGCGGGAGGCGTCCTGGTGGGATAATGGGCTCCGCCCAATACCAACAGCAAGGTCAGCAGTTTGAAACCACCTTCCGTGACACAGGATAAAGATGAGGCTTTCCGCTCAGCAAAGCTACAGCCTTGGAAACCTGGCAGTTCTACTCCATCCAGAGTCTTTGTGCGTCAGGATGGACTAGGCAGGGAGTTAAGTTTTGATGAGGTGGGAGGGGTGAAGCAAAGCTCCACTGCAGGCATTCACATTCGTCAAAAGGAGGGACAGGTTTGATCATTTACAGAGCTTAGATAACAGCTCGCATTTCTGTCTGTGTTCAGACATGAACGATCGTGTTCTTAACTCATGGTTAGAGCGTGGTGTGATGTTGATGGTACGTGGCACTGTTTATTTCAACAGAACGAGGCTGACTGACAGGACCAGGCACGTTGTCCGTTGCCCGGGGCTGCTTTTCTCCTAAAAACAAAACAAAAAGCCATTCCTAACTTTGCTCAAGCTGTTGCAGCCCCTAGGATGTTCCCCTTTCTAGGCAAACCTGGGCCAGGTGGGCCGGCCACCTCACCTCCGAGGCTCACTGCCTTCGCTTTTGGCTAAAGTCGAACACTGCGGATCTCAAAGCAGTGCGTAGCTACTGACAGGTCCAGGGCAGACAGACACACAACACGTTTCCGACACTCGGCTTCAACTGCTCCCTAAAGAGAGGGTCGGATTCCAGGGGGCTAGGGAAGTCCTCGACGCCAAGCACGCTGCTCGCAAACGTAAAGACACCCCGCTTTCACAGCAGCTAAACGGCTAACTTTCCCTCAAATCGTCGCCGCTCCGCCCCCAACGACACGCTGTAAGGAGCAGCCAATCCAACGCGGGTGCAGACTTCTCCACCAATAAGAAGCCCGCGAAGGCGGGCCCCGACGCCTTGATTGGCCTCTGACCTCCCCGCCAAGGCCAGGCAACGTCACGTCCGCAGAAGCTGCGCACGGAGCGGCTCGGCTCTGGCGGCCATCTTTACTCCTGGCAGGTCCGCCGACTTGGATTCGCTCGACGCTGTCCCGAGAGTAGGCATCCCCCGGGGAAGGTGGCATTCTACGCCCAGTTCAGAAGGCCACACTCACGGCCGCGAGTCGGCCCCGACGCACAGAGACCCCCATAAAGCAGAGTAGCATCGCCCCGTAGTGTTTCCGAGGTTGTACGTCTGGACGCCCGACGCGAACCCACGACGCTACCGGGGAGCCCTCCGCTTCCTCCGGGGCGCCGGCACACCCCTCCACTCCGGCCCTGCCCGGCTTCCTGGAAGGGGCGGGGCCAGCGGGAGACGCTTCCAAAGCCGTGGGAGCGCTTGGCGGGAAGTTGGGCTACCTGTGGCCCACCTGTCTTCCGGGTCCCCGGCTTGTTTCTCCCCAGGGCCCACTCAGTCTTCATGCCATGATTTCGAAGTAAGGTCCGGTGGGTACCCCGTTCTCCCGGAAGACGCGATGGCTCCCAGGAAACGCCCAGACGCCCCGAAGACCCCCGAAGTGGCCGCGCGCCTCCGGGGCAAGCGGAGCCGAAGCCCTCCGGAGCTGGAGCCGGAGAACAAGCAGTTGTCGGTGCAGAGCGCCGGTACGTCTGTCTGTGCCGGCCGCCCCCTGTGCCCGCTGGCCGGGGTTGGACGCAGGAGACTGGGGTGGGGGGCGCGCGGCGCCGCCGCGAGGTCCCGAAGGCCGCCCCGGGGTGGGGACGCCCCGGGTGGTGCATTGTGCTCGCCTCTTCTTTGACATCTGCCCGCCCCGAGACCGGGGAGCCCGGGCGGAACTCCCCGCAGGTGACGGGAGGAAGGGGCAGAGCGCCGTTATCCCAGACAAGGGCTTTTCTAGTTCCTGGTTTGTACTGGGATCTTCACACACACACAACGGCTGCCGAGCATCCCGCCTTGCCGGGCCGGTGTGCGGAATTTTGGGAGTCGAGGTGGTTAGCTGCCTGTCCTGAGCCCTCCAATCTCTCCTTCCTTAGAAGTCGCATTGAAGGCTTTGGTGGGGCTGTAAGGAGGGTGGGGAGTGGACTCAGAGCCTGAAAGGGCCGGGGTGGGGTTGGGGGGCTAGTTGAGGCAGGTGGTGTTGTTGTTTTGGTCTCTGGAATGAAAGAATTAGGTTTGGAAAGCCTGGATCTTGGCTGTAAATCAGAACCTTAAATGCAGTTTTAGTTCTCCAAACCAAAGTCGCTGCCTGGGGAATCAATTCCGACTCATTAGGACGTCCCCCTTGAGGATAGGGCAAAACTGCCCCTGTTGGGTTTCTGAGGCTGGAAACCTGGGACCAGAAAGCCTCATCTGTCTCCCTGCAGGGCCTGCTGGGTTCAAACTGCCCACCTGGTGTGTAGCCTCTCGGCACATTACCCCTGTGCCACGAGGCTTCCTCACCAGGCTTATTGCTCATTCTCAGTGCCCCCCTTCCCCTGAGCAAGCTCAGTTTCCTTTGATCTAGTCCAGACCTTCCCGGAGAGAGGGACAGTCTCATTGCTGGGCCTCAACTGCACACTGGATACCATGTAGTCCTGACAGCGCTGCACACTCGGGATGGGGGGGAGGGGGCAGCTCCCAGGGCCTCCAGGCCCCCAGCTCTCCTGAGGCGACTTGGTGAAGGGGACCCATGCCAGAAAACCAGGGCTGTAGATTCCCCCACTCCCCACCCCCCAGCCACAGGGCATCTGGCAATAAGACTAGCTAGCATACATTGACCTCCTGTTCCCTGCATGAGAGTGGGGGAGACTTCCCCCTGCTCCTGCCCCCATTGCATGGAGGAGGGCATAAAGAATCATTTATATGCCTCCCCCCCTCAAAGTGACAGTCTTGGAAACCCACAGGGCCAGTTCTATAGGGTCCTGCCCTACACGGTCACCATGAATTGGCAGTGAGTTTTCTTTTTTCCAGGAGCAGTGGCTGGGGATAGGGTTTGGGGTCTACAGATTCAATAGAGGATTTAAAGATACTTCTTTTCCTAAACAGTCATTTGGACTAGGTGGTCTTAAAATCTTGTGATTGCACACTGTAGGTGGGAGGGGAAAAGGCCTTGCTTTCTGGACGAACAGCGGGACCTTTCCTGAGCGAGATCAGAGAGGGAAATAGGCACCTGTTGTGTTTTGACAGACCCCGATGGAAGGTCTGACTCAGGCTGTTTGGGAACAGGAGCGGCCAACCCGAAGGCCCAGTTCCTCCACTGTAGCATCGTCAGAGCCCTCCAACGGCAGAAGCTGGGCAAAGCTGCCTGCCCAACGCTGCCGCAGGTGAGGGAGGCGTTCCCTGGCTGACATGCTCAAGGGCTTGCCTGCGGCCTTTTTAATGGTGGCGGAATTGGGTGATGGGTCGCTTTGGTGACTGGCCTTCCGGGCACACACCAGGTAGAAGTTTGAGGTTGTCAAGGTCCCAGCCGAATGCACTTTGCTGCCTGGCTTTCCAAGATTCACTTGCATGTCTCACAAATAGTGGGGAATGACGGTGGGGGTGGGGGGACCGGGCATGACAGTGTTCTTGGTGGGAAGACTTGGAGTGGGGCTGATTATCCTCAACGTCATTCTTCTCTTCCTGTGCCAGAGTCTCCAGTGGTGGTTCTTAGACACTCTGCCTACATACCGGATATCCCAAAAGGCCATCCCCTTTGACAGGAGGGCCACCTCCATGGCCTGGCACCCCACTCACCCCAGCACCCTGGCTGTGGGCTCCAAAGGGGGCGATATCTTGCTCTGGAACTTCAGATCCACGGACACACCCACGTTCATTAAAGGGGTGAGCTAATGCCCTGTACCTGAGGGGAGTGGTAAGGACATGTTTGATGAAGGTATGAAAAGTCACCCGGTGACAGCTGGGTGGTAACTGGGATTCAAAGTCACCCGGGGTCATTTAAAACACATGAATGGTGATAAGACTCAAGTATTTATTGAACGCCTGCCCTGAAGACACAAGAAGACATGCCTTGTTGAGCCCCCTGAAGGAAGTCACCCCTTGGAATAGAATCACAACCACCTCTGGTCTGCTTGGCTGTAGCTTGTACTTCTCTTTGCGCACTGCCCTGGAATTTACCCAGAACCCTCAGGGCTAGGCCTCTGCATTCGCTGTTCCTTTCTGGGGGGCGAAGCCCTGGTGGCCGAGTGGGCCATGTGTGGGGCTGGTGACCCACAGGCTCAGCAAGTGGGAAACTACCAGCTGTCTGAGCCATCTCGGGCAGTTCTCTGTCCTGCCGGGTGGCTGTGCGTTGGGATCAACTTGATGACTGTGAGTTTGGGCCTTGTCTGGAATGCTCCTTCCCGTGATCTTCTCCTGACTGGCTCCCTGCTAGTGTTTAGGTCTCCACTTAGGAGAGCCTCTTCAGAGAAGCTTCTACTGACCACCCTGCCCAAAGGATCTCCCTCCAGTCACTTCCTACCATATTATCTTCTTATCTTATTCTCCTCTCCTCCCACACGTGTCAGTATTTGCAGTGTGTGGTGTATTTGTTTACGCGTATGCCCATGCCCATGGGAAAATGAGCACCATAGTGGTGCTGGCGGGGCAGCTTTTCTTTCTGGTTCAGCAGTACCCCAGTGCCCGGAACAGCGCTTGGCCTAGAGTAGCTGTTGCTTTGTATTTGCTGAACGAATGAAGGACTTGAAGTACCACTGGGTGGATGAGGTGTGGTGTTTGTGAGAGCTGACAGGACAGCTACTGAAGGCCGCAGAGTGTCAGAGGAGCAGGAGCCCCCTGTGGCTCAGAGTTGACCTCAGGGAGCAGGGGGCGTGAGGAAGAACAACATTGAGATACAGGATGAGAAAAGGGGGGAGGCATTGTGTGTGTGTGTGTGTGTGTGTGTGCGCAGTAAGGTTTGGTGTGGAGGCTTTTTAGAGATAGTCTCAGATGTGTTAGTGTGACGCGTCAATGGCTGAGAGTGTTGGTGCCCTCTCCCCTCCCTCCTGAGAGACAACCTTCCCTACCTGGTGGCTGGCAGATGTCAGAGGGCTCTCCTGTGGAAAAAAAGGTGGAACTTTGGATTTAGAGCAGGGGCCACAAAAGCACATGCCAGCAGGAGCCGTACTGATCTCGTCGGGGCAGCAGCGCCAGGGGTGCACTGGAGAGGGAGGCCCTTTCAGAGTGGTGTCTAGCGTTTACTAGTTGTGGGGGGGTGTGCATTTTGCTCAGGAAGCACTGCGGTTCTTTCTATGGTGGTGGGAAATTGTGACGGCAGCTGTGGGTGAAGGTGGCAGCATGGCAGTCATTGATGACGTTTTAAAAAGCCCCTCGCTGTTGCGTCAGATCTGACTGAGTGACTCACTAGTGTTTCCAAGATGGTGATCTTCATGTTTTCAGTTGGGAGCGCTTATAGGATAACAATCCCAAATTCAATTAGATCAAGCAACTCGGCTGCTGAGTTGGAGCTCAGATATTACAACAGTCCATAATTCATTTAGAGCAAGCATAATTGTACAGTTGCTGCCACCATCATTTCAAAACATTTTCTTCTTGAACTCTTTGATATCAGCTCCCCTTTATCCCCCCCCACTCCCCAAGAACCCTTATTATTATATATTATTATTATTGTTTTTGCCTTACCGAGACGGTAATCTTTATGGAAGCAGATACGTTCCATGTATCCATAGAGTCCATATATGGGAGCAGATACTTTTCTCCCTGAGAGCAGTTGGTGCGTTGACTTCTACCTTTCCAGCACCTAACCAGTGTGTCACCAGGGTCCTTAGTAATGCCATTAGAGTCACTTAATGCTATCTGTGTCTTCCGGACCCAAAAAAAGGATGTAACCACAGTGTGTCAGATGAGAAATCCTGATTTGTATGTTACTGTGACTGAGGTGAAGGGTTACAGAGGAGATCGGGAATTCCACACTCTCCAGTCTGCATGTTCTTTTCCAGCTCATCCACTGGGCTCTCGGTAAGCCCACTTCCTCTGCAGATTTCCTGTTTCCACACCATGCCCCTTCCACCCTGGGTCCATTTGTAAACACTGCCCTTTTGATCTTAAGTGGCTGATAATTCCAACATGGAAAGGTGAATTCCGTTCCAGACCCGAAGGGGGACTAAGGGCCATAGTCTTGGGGTGGGGGGGTGCCACTGCTCTCTCACCAGTAAGCCTGGCCTCTTTTATGGAAATCCTGGTTTCTTTTCTTTACAGACAGTTTCCTCTTGGCAGTAAAATGAAATGAAACCCTTTGTAGGCCAAACACTTGAGCTCTCCATCATTGCTATCTCTGGGGTAGAAATTGAGGATGCCGCCCCGGTGTGGAGGGGGTTGACCAGCAGCCCATGAGAAATGGCCAGAGTGGACAGGTTTGGGAGATTAGGATTGGAGGCATGAGATGGGAGGTCAGAGAGGAGCAAGGCAGTCAGATGAAGGCTGTGGAGGGAGCCCAGCAGTCTTCCTGCCCTGCTGTCCGGCAGCGACCACCCGGTTGGCTGCTGTCAACACCTCAGAATTCATGCCGGTCAGGAAAAGATTGGTTTCCCCGGGAATCTGGGACATGGGGGCAGAGCAATGTAGTCTGAACCTGGAGGTGGTGAGGTGTTAGTAACGGTGTAGGGATAGAAGCTTCTAAATGAGGACTTTCTACTACCTTGAATTTGTGCCAGGTCAACAACACTGCTTTTGGTTTGTATCACCTTTTATTACAACGTGCACGTAGCTGATGAAGATTGGTCTGGGAAGTTGAGCTTTGTAACTAATAGGTTGGCTCTGGCAGTGTTGAGGTGAACTCTCTATTACGCCGTCCAAAGGCCGACAACAGGAAGTAGACTTGAGACCTCTGTCCGGGGAGCAATTTCTTAATTCATTTGCCTTTGGTTCTGACCTCTGCATCTCTCAGGTCCTGGGTAAGGGAACAGGTGTGACATTTTAACATGAAAATTGCTTGATGCTTTATTTTAAAAACTTACCTGTGCTCATTATGAAAAAAAAAAAAAAAGCAAGCTATCGAGGAAAGTATAAAGAATAAAATAATGACCTGAAATCCCACTTTTGGGTGATCGCTGTCTGGGGCATCTCTGTGCCTGGATCCACTGTTACTTACACCCATCCTTCTACTCACATGGTTACATAGATAGCTCATCCTGAAATCCAAGACTTTCTTAATTGAATCATATCCTGCTGTATGGTGACCACTTAAACATATCCTATAATTCTCTTATAACACCATTGGTTCGGGTATTGAAGTAACATGAGCCTCATGGAATGAGTTGGGAAGTAGTCGTTTTTTCTGTTTTCTGGAAGAATTTATATAGAACTGATATGTCTTCCTTAAATTTTTGGTAGAATTGATTAACAAAGCCATCTGACCTGGAGTGTTCTTAACTGCACATTGCATAGAGGGATTCTTAGGTTGTCTGTTATCTTCTTGCACGAACTTTGGTAGACTGTGTCTTTCAAGTATTTTGTCCATTTATTTAACTTGCTGAATTGATTGGCATAAAGCTGTTTTTCAGTGTGCTTTTTAAGATCTAGAGGATCTGTAGTAATGTCCCCTCTCATCTTCCTGATGTTGGTAATTTGTGTCTTCTTTTCTTCCTGATCCGTCATGCGAGGTATCTTCTTACTCAATAAAAACTGAAATGATTGGAAACGGAGCTTCCTATCTCCTGTTTGCCCTTATTCCTGGCATGCTAAGGGTACTAACTAAAGGCTAGTGTGTTGTTTTTCCCCTAGACCACTTCCCCGTCATTCTGCACTCCAGTTCTCGCCTCCCTCCCTACGTCTAGCTCAGAGGAGTCCTTGGGTGGTTCAAACAAATAGATGCAAGGTTGGAGGTTCGAATCCACTCAGGCGCTCCATGGAAGAAAAGCCTGAAAGATCACAACCATGGAAAACCCTGTGGAACACAGTTCGCCTGTGGGTACGTGCGGGGTGCCGCGAATCAGAGTCCACTCTACCAGAGCTGGTTTGGTTGGCCTGGGGAGACCACAAAACCTCCAATCAACTCCTCAGCCTGCCACCGCCACCACCACCTCTGTTCCGCTGCCCTCTCTCTGCCAGGCCGCACATTGGGAATCTCAGGGAAGAGCAGCAGCCAGATGGCAGGCTTACCTTTCTGCTCCTCTTCTCTCTAGAGCTTGACCTTCAGACCCTTGCTGCCTCACTCTCCAGTGTCTTACAAAACGTTTCTTTAATGCTCTATCTTTGATTCCTACTTGCCCTTGACCAGAAGTTGATCTGACACAAGTTCACCCACCATACTGGAATTGGAAAGCTCACACAGATTTTTTTTCTTTTCTATTGTAAAAAATACATCTCACCATTTGCCAGTTCATCACTGGGTTTTCATGTATAATTCAGTGGCCTTATTGTGTGCGTCATGTACAACCAGGTTGAATCAACTGTCCTTTTCCATATGAGTCCACTGCTGTCAACAGAAGCCCAGTGCCCCGAGCAGTGCCTCTCCCCTTCTCTCTCCCCATCGCACCCTTGGTAACTTCTAACGGGCTTGGGTGTCTGCATTTGCCTACTTCATTTTACCGTGCTTGCCCTTTTGTGACGGACCGACTGGCTCAGCACGTTCGCGGTGCACCCACGTTGTAGCATCTGTCCGACTTCATTTGTCTTGACAGCTGAGCGATAATCCATTGTACGGTGTGCCACTGTGTTTCACTCCACACGTCGATGGAAATTGCGGCTTTTTCCTCCTTGGCAATTGTGAACAGTGCTGCAGTAAACATTGGCTCAGGTTTCTCTGTTTGACTCCCTGCTTTTTAGTTCGTTTGCGGATTTGCTTTTAGCTAGGTTGGGTATATACCTAGGATTGGGTGACTGGGTCCGATGATACTTCTCTGTTTTCCATGGTTGATTTGACCGGTTTGCATTCCCGTCAGCACTGGACGAGAGTTCCAGTTTCTCCGCATCCTCACTCACGCTGTTTGATCCGGCTTAGGTGGGGCCTATGCAGTGGATCTCCTTGTCCTTGTGATAGGCTTTTCGCTCATAACTCTTGACCTGGACCATCTCTTCATGTGCGGGCGTCTTGGCCATTTGTATCTCTTTTTTTAGGTGAGATGTCTAAGTCCTTGGCCGATTTTTCAAGCAATTTGTCTGTCCTTTGTGAGTCCAGTAGATTTTCTTTTCAACTACAATTTTTCTAGTCCTTGGTGCAAGCCTTGGTCAGAAGCACCTGGTCTGCTGTTACCAGACGGGAAGCACTCATCTTTTAACTGAAAAAAGCACTCATCTTTTAACTGAAAAGGTGTGTGTGTGTGTGTGTGTGTGTGTGTGTGTGTGTGTGTGTTCCTAATGCCTTGATGTGATGCCAACCCTTTTCCTGGAGTCTGACCTACTGATTCAGGATGACTTCCTCTTGCATAAAGTCCACAAATAAGGCATTTTAAAAAATAGATAGTTTCCCTTTCTCTAAGAATCATCATTTAAAGCTAGTGGAAAGCAATTAGGAGCCTACCCTGGTAGTGAAGTGGAGTACGCTTTGGGCTGCTAACCACTAGGCTAGCTGGTTTGAAACCACCAGCAGCTCCTTGGGAGAGAGACGGAGCTTTCTACTCCCACGGGCAGTCTCCGAAGCGCACCGTGGCAGTTCTTCCCAGCCCTGTAGGATCGCTCTGAGTTGGAACCAACTCGGTAGCCGTGAGTTTATTTTTTGGTGTCTAAGCCATTGTGGTTCCCATCCTTGGGCGGGATGTCTGGGAGAAGGGGAAGAAGCCCCCGTCTGACTCCTGCCGCTTGTCCAAAATGAACCATTTCTACAAGGAGCCCTGTGCCAGCAGCAGACTCAGGCACAGCCACACAGTGGAGAGAGCGCTTCTTCCCCACGGAACCGCAAGCCACTGACTGGCAGAGGCACTCAGATTCTGAGTGGTGGACCAGTCTCAAAAAGTTACATGCCACATGACTTCCCTCAGGACAGCCTATACAAGGCAAAACTGAAGAGTTGGCAACAGATCGGTGGTTTTTAGGGTGGGGGTGGGTACGACTGCAAGGGGAGAGCAGAAAGGGTTGCGGGAGCTGTGGGGGGGGTGGGCCGGCAGGGGAGCCTTCTACATCCTGATTTTGGTGGTACTTGAATCTATGCATGTGTTCAGTTTCATAGACCTTTACACCAGAAAAGGGGCCGATTTATTGTTACCTTAAAAAAATAAAAGAAATTTTGAAAACACTGTGGCCAGCGTCCCAATCTCTAGTTTCTGGGCCCAAGCCGGGGCGGAGCTCCTCTGTCTGTGCAAGCGGCCTGGCTTGGGCCCGTGGTCTTCACGCACTGCTTTGTCTTTCCTCATGGTAGATTGGAGCTGGAGGGGTCATCACTGGGCTGAAGTTTAACCCTCTCAACACCAACCAATTCTTCACCTCCTCAATGGAGGGAACCACTAGGCTACAAGACTTTAAAGGCACTACTCTCCGAATTTTGGCCAGCTCAAACAACTGCAAGTGAGTAGTTTACCCAGGACTGGAGAGGCATCTAGGTGTAGTTCTGGGAGAGCTGTCAGAGTGAACTTCCTGTGCCCAGACCTGGCAAGGGGAAAGGTGTTCGCCTTCCCACCCTGCAGCCTATTTCTTGAGCTCTTCTCTTTGGCTGCCTTGACTTTGATCCCAGCAGGATCAGCTCTCCTCAGTTAGGAGAGGACTTCAGCCTTTCCGTAAGGCATGCCTACGGATGTGTCAGACTAGACCTTGTTCCTAACTAGATGTCAGTGTAGAATTCATCAGAGACCCAAGGAAGCGAGAACTAAAAACCTCAGGTTTGATTCCCTGCGTTCCATTGGCTGCCATGGCCTGGCCAGTTCCTCAGTTCAGCAAGCACGTGTGGCTGGAGAAATGACCTACATGGCTGTCCCTTTGATTTTTAAATCCTCCCTCCCTGAGGGCACGGAGTCTGATTGGCATTGGATGTATTGTGGGGCCCCCTCGAGGGGTAAGAAACACATGGAATGAAGATGGGTGTTTGGATGGACACGACCAGAGGCAGTATGGTGGGGGTGGGGGGTGTTGAGAATTCTGGTTGTCAGGCTCCCGAAGTACCCCATGCCCCATTCCCCATCCTCAAGTAGTTCAAGGACCCATAGTGCAAGCTAGAGGATCCGGGTTATGTCTGCATTCCCCTACATGCTCAGGAGGGCAGGGGTCCCTATTCAGCTGCATCTGAGGACTACAGCAGGGTGATCTGTTTGGTCAGCATTGTCATTTCTTCACCCAAAGGCTGGCAAGCTGTGGGGAGGGAATCTCCCTCTGAACTTGGGGCTGTGGAGGGAAGCAAGCTTGGAGACCTGCCTTCTGCTTCTGGGTTTTGGCTGCTTTGGGGATCGTGGGCCCAGCAGTCACCAGACTGACTTCTGGGCCTTACCACTCCCAAACCCTCTGCCTGGATGATAAATGGTCTCTATCGCCGGGAATCCACGGCGAGACGATTACTCATTCCACAAATGTTTATTGAATGCCCATGGTGTGTGGGCACTGGAGCTGCAGCACTGGTCCCCAAGAACCTTACAGCACGATACCTCCCCCACACCTTCCCCCCCCAGTGTCTGGTTCTGCAGCCTGGATGTGTCTGCCAGCAGCCGGATGGTGGTCACGGGAGACAATGCGGGGCAGGTAATCCTGCTGAACATGGACGGCCAGGAGGTGCGTGCACGGGGGACCCCGCCCACCCACCCACACCCTTGGTCCCGGGCGTCGCCTGAACCCAGCTCTTCTCTGCAGCTATGGAATCTCAGGCTGCACAAAAAGAAAGTGACCCACGTGGCCCTGAACCCACTTTGTGATTGGCTCCTGGCCACAGCCTCCGTCGATCAGTCAGTGAAAATCTGGGACCTGCGCCAGGTTAAAGGGAACTCCAGCTTTCTGTCCTCACTGCCACACAAGCATCCTGTCAATGCAGGTGTGACATACCAAACCTCACCTTCCCGAGACCCTGCCCGCCTGCCCGCTCCCGTAGCATCAGCCAAACTCAGGTCTTGGGATCTTTCCAGCTCTGGCTGTCCTCCTGCCCACCCCCCCCCCCCCCCATCAGCTGCTGGAATTTCTAGACTCTTAGCCCATAGCTCAGGGTCATCCTTCCCCTCCCACCCTGTAGAGGGTGGAGGGCGGGTGCCCGGGAAGGCCAAGGGCCACATGGGCCTTGGGCTCCTTCAACGCGGCCTTCTGTCCTACCAGCTTGTTTCAGTCCTGACGGAAACCGGCTCCTGACCACTGACCAGAACAGCGAGATCCGAGTTTATTCCACCACCCGGTGGGACAGGGCCCTGTGCGTGATCCCACACCCCCACCGCCAATTCCAGCACCTCACCCCCATCCAGGTGAGGGATGCAGGCAAGTGGGGTCAGCCAGTGGGGGCACAGGAGCAGAGGCTGAAGCTGGAATCCCAGACACCTTGTCCAGGCATCATCTTGTCCCGACACCAAACCGTCTCATCTCGGGTCTGTTCCTCCTGGTCTTGCTGGTCTGTTTTCTGTGCTGCCCTCAGGCCTTTTCTAAGGGCCTGCTCCTCTGTGCTCTCCTCTCCTGGTTTTGGCTACGTGTGTAGGTGGCTGACTCCACCAACCACCCTTTTGAAAACAAACCAACCAACCTTAGGTTGAGGTGACTTCTAATAACCAGGTAAGTTCCCTATTTTCCCACCTCTTCCCAGTTTTCTTGTACTGGTTTACGGCTCCCCTTTTCTTGTTCCCCAAGGCTCCCCTCCTTCAACTCTTGATTCCTGCTGTGTCCCTAGCCCCTGTGCCGGCTGAGCACTGCCAGCTTCAACTCTTAATAGTTTTTCCTAAAAAAGTGTGTTTCTCTGGCCAGTCTTAAGTGGAGCACAGTGGGGGGGTGGTACCAGCTGCAGGGTGGAGTCTTGAGTCCTGGAGCAAGTTAATCCGACATCGGGAGAAGGAAACACTGCTAGTATCGGACTGGTAAGAGTTGCAGTGAGGGTGGGTCCATATACTGAAAGCATTCAGCACTAGGCCTGCCGCTTGGGAAGCACCCAAAGAGAGACAGTGATTTAATATTAAAGTGGTTCCCGTGCACCTCTAGTCCAAGCTCTTCATACCATCCAAGGATTTTTCCCAAGTTGGTGTTCCATCGATCCATCTGTCCTAGTCTCCCACTCCAGCCCATTTGTTCTTGGTATCCAGCCAGGCCAAGGTATAGTCAACCCTGCCTCCCCCCACCCCCACATGCGCATTGTAGGGCTTGTTTCCGAGCCACCGTGTGTTTCACTTCCTTCCCACGCACCGCCTAACTTCCTTCAGAACATAAGATGGTGGGAAAATCCCGTCCGGTTTCTATCATGCCACTAGTTGCCAGACTTGACTGCACGGGGAAGTCTGGGAGCATGTACGTCCGCTGCCTCCTTTCCAGCCACAAGCTCCTTCACACTGCTCTCGGGTGTGCACCTGCCCAGAGCAGTGACTTCAGAACCCTGTCCTGTTTGGCTTTATCACCAGACGCTTTTGTGCTTTGTCCGAGAAATGCAAGGCAGGCCACACGTGGCCCCGAGGGCCTTCGAAGGAAGTCTGCAATGGGAGAGGAACACAGAGCCAGAAACCACTCTTGGGGCTTCTGGATGAAACTGCTGGCAGGTGCAACGCGGTGTTCTCATGACCGGTCTTCTTCTCTCTCTTAGGCAGCCTGGCACACTCGGCACAACCTCATTGCCGTGGGCCGGTACCCAGACCCCAATTTCAAAAGTTATTCTCCCTACGAATTACGGACGGTTGATGTGTTAGACGGCAGCTCAGGGAAGCTGATGTGTCAGCTCTACGACCAAGGATATTCCGGCATCATTTCGGTGAGGCTGGGCCCTTGAATGGCGATGGGAGGAAGCAGCACTCAGCTGCCCAGCAGCTGGCCTCTTACACCCTGTTCTTCTCTGGCTCAGCCAATTCCTTCACCACACTTCCTCTTCTCTTTGCAGCGCAATGAGTTCAGTCCCATGGGAGACACGCTGGCTTCTATGATGGGTGAGTGGTCGTAATCCTGACTGGCCAGGCCCTATCCTGCTCCCTCCGGGCCAGGGTGGGCTATGTACGCCTAGCCTAGCCTTGGCCCATTCCACCCTGGTCAGAAAACAAGACAGCCGAGAGAGCGCGGTCTCTCTGCCTCGGTGCGCTCTCCCCCTTGCTGGCTGTGGATCACGGCAACACCTGGCTGCCGCCCAGCTCCCTGGCGTTTCTTCCCAGTCCTGGGCTCACATGGTCTCTCTCCTCCTAGGTTACCACATTCTCATTTGGAGCCAGGTGGAAGCTGGGACACAAAAGCAAGAGAAACCTGCAAACAAGCGTGCCAGGCAAGGGCTCCGATCATCGACCGGGAATGCGTCCGAGAAGAGGCGGCTGTCTCTCAAGGGGCTGAAAGTATACAAGTCTTAGGTTGGAGCAGGAGCACTGTGCGTCTGGCATGCTTCTGCTTTAGTTCTGGAAGCTTCTGTAGAGCTGGAGGGGCCAGCTGCACCAGGGACCCATGCCACTTCTGTCTCGGAGCCCAGCTTCTCTCCCATGTGCAGAGGCAGGCGACGGGGCGTGTTTCTATTGTTTGTTCTCGCTGTTGACATGGCCAATAAAACATTTTATCCAAGGAAGAGCTTATGAGTGGATCTTGTAGCACTGACCTGGTCAAAGAGCTTCTTGAGTCCCCCCCTCCCCACGAAGAAAAGGCACAGAAACAGCACTGTCTTAAACTTTCATTCTCTGCCATTCACTTCGGCAGTCCTAGCGCTGGCAGGCTTTCACAACCTGCGTTTACTCCAGGTCCCTGGAGAATTCAGCCAGCTTCAGGACCCTGGATGCCAACTGCCCCCTGACTCCCCCAGGGCACGAACCCCTTCCAGCCTGCTCCAGCTGAAGGGGTGAGAGAGATGCCCAGTGCATTCTGTCTGTGGTGATGGCTGCAGGTGGACGAGGGAAAACGACTTGGCTGGCTCGAGTCCCGCTTCCGCAGTGGCCCCGTTGACATTGCCAGGGTTGTGTTGTTTTCCCGACTACAAGAACCACTGAGTTGAGACTGTGCCCTCTGAGCCATCTGCCAAAGCCTCCGGTTGGCAGAGAAAGTGCGGGGCCCAATCAAGGAGCAAGCAGATCAAGAATCAACTTCCTCAGTTTCGGTTGTCCTAGGTACTGACTGGCCCCTGACTGCTCGCCTGCCTGTGTCTCAGACCCTTAGGGAGTACAAAGAGGCAAGCCTGTTTGGAATAAGCCAGCGTTGTCCACAGTACTCGGTACACGTCAGGCACGTGAATGTTGGGGGCCAGTGGCCCCGCTGAGCCCCACATGCCCATCTAGACTTGGATCATCAGAGGGGGGCCCAGCTCAGGGTCTCCTGTCCACGGGCTGGGGAGCAAGGGCCCAGCCCGCCTCCCCTAGGAGGCAGAGGGAAGGGGGCCAGTGGTTGTCAGGCATGGTCCTCCCCATCGGCGACGTGGCGGTAGCCAGGAGGCTGGGCCTGCATCCGGAAGAGGACGGTGAGGAGCAGCACTATGAGGAGGAAGAGGATGGAGCCACACACAGCCAAGGCCACGGTCACCTCTGGGGGGTGGGGAGAGGATGGGAAGGAGGGGAGGAAGAAAGATGATGTGAGCATACATTCAGCAACTGTCTGGGCACCTACCAAAAGCCAGCTATGTCTCTGGCAGTGGGGACGCCAGGCTGGCGAAGACAGTCTTTGCCTCATGGGGTTTACCCCGTTATAGGAGGCCTAGTAAACCAGGAGAAGAAGGGTCCGTGCGGAACGCTATGAGCAGGGTAGTCGGGGGGCCACGGAGCAGGGGCCAGGGGAACGGAGCCAGTGAGTGAGCCGGCCAAGAGCTGAAGAAGCCAAAGGTGTTCTGGGAAGGGCAGCGACAGGCACTGAGTGCACGGGTCCTGATGGGGGAGGATGCTTGGGATGGGCTGGGATCAGCGAAAAAGTCGCCTAAGCAGAGTGAGGCCCAAGGAGTAGCCGGGGCATAGGATGGGTGAAGAAGGGCTGGCAGGAGACCGCTAAAAGGAGGAGGGTAGTGCTAAGAATAGGCTTGCATTTAAAAAACAAAATTCAGCCGTGCTGAGACTAGCAGGGCAAAGACTAGACTTGGGTACAAGCAAACAAAACCCTTTGCAAACTTCCTGGTGAGTTCAGGGATGAGATGATAGCAGAATGAAGCTAGAGAGGCAGGACCGTGCCATTCCCGGTTGAGCCGATGAAGGGATAGGTTGGATGGGGGCAGTTGAGTGGGGTGTGTGTGTGAGAAAGAGGGCAACTGAGTAACTCGTACGCTCTCCCGTGTTGTGGGGGGCTGATGAGGTCTTACGAAGGCGACTGGCCTGGAGGAAGAGCAGATTCGGAGGGAAAGGCGTTTGGCTTCCGATAGAGCGGCTTTGACATCCTGGCAGAGACTCCCAGGCAGAAAGAGGGTGCCGGTGTCACTCAGCCAAGAAGTCACAGCTGGATGTGCTTCTTGTGAATTATGTGAATTACATGCCAATAAAATGTTTTTTCAAAAAAGACAGGGCTGGAGATGTGAATCTAGTCACAACGGTGAGACCAAACTCGGCACTCAGCACCGGGCGGGGATGTGCAGCCCTGAGGTCAGATGGGGTCACTCAGGAGAGGGCTGGGCCCAGGCCTGGGCCAGCCACCCACCACATTGCTCAGCGGGAGAAAGCCGAGTAGGTGAAGCCTGTGTATTGCGAGCAAGACCAGGGGCTGCCGGTGGTGACGCGATGCTGCTGAGCTGAGAGCAGCTGGCTGAGGGTGCTGGTCAACTGACAGAGCAGGCAGCACAGGCTCATGGGAGGCAGAGAGAATGGGTGAGGGCAGTGGAGCTCGAGGAGGGGCAGGTCATTGAGCTGAGAGGGTCCATCTGAGAGGAAGACACTGAGCTACCAGAGGCACTTGAGGCGGCAGTGGGGGGCAGAGAGGGAAGAGAGGCGCCCAGGGTGCAAGTAGAAGAGGAGCACCTCCAGGGGCAGCTCACCCCCTTCCGAGGGGGCAGCAAGAGGTGGTGCGCTGATGCACGTGGGTGGGAAGACCTGGTGGCAGGAGGGATGGGAGAAGCAAGGGCCTCACCTGAGGGCGAGGAGCAGGGAGCAGAGATCAAAGGGCACGGCCCCTGCCGGCAACGCAGGGAGGAGAGCTGGGGGTGCACCCCCCACCCTCACACTCAGCCCAGCAGCAGGTGGCAGCTCACCTGTGTCTGCAGGCTTGCTGGTCAGCTGGCACTCCTGCTGCCAGTCCTTGGGCACCACAAGATCTGTGAGGCGAAGGAAGTCCTGCAGTGGGCAGCGGGCTGGGCAGCCAGGCAGGATCACCAGCCAGGGGTCCTTGCCGCTCTCGTTCCGGAAGTACATCTCCACAGAGAAGTTCCTGGAAAGCCGAGAGCAGGCAGGATGGGAGAGCTGCACACCAGGCCGTGCCAGCGGCCCCCAGGCCCGGGCCACTACTGGGCGCCCCTCCCCAGGGCAGCCAGGCAGCTCCCTCACCCATCGTCTTCCTGGTGCAGCTCAAAGATGTGGCAGGAGGCGTAGGGGGCCTGTTGCCCGTTGTACACATCCAGGGCCATCTGCAGAGCCACCAGGGTGGTGTCGTGCTGTAGGGAGAGGGGGTCCGCATCAGCACTGCTCCCCCAAGGAGACAGCCAGCTCCTCGCCTGCAAGTGGCAGGGTGGGGTGGGGGGGGCGGGGCTCACCGCAGAGTACACCAGCAGCTTAGGGAGGGTGGAGGTGGAGGCCATCAAGGTCAGGTTCTTCCGGATCTGAGCCAGCAGCACTCCTGAAGGAGAAAAGTCCGCCGTCGGTGGCGGCTATGGCCAGTGCCACCTTTGACTCAGAGCTAACCTTAGGCCTCTCCTGCTCAGCAGGCCCTGGGGCAGAGAACCCTGCTGGCACTCAGGGAAACGATGGAGAGGAGAGCAGCCCCGCCCTCTGAGAAGCCCCAGGTTTGCAGAGGGAAGCCTGAGTAAGCCGGATGCCTAGCTCTAGAGCAACACAGTTGTAGACACCTGCCCACTGACAAAGGGGCCAGGAGGCCCTGGGCACGCCGGCACTGGAACCCACAAGCACAGGGCTCCAGGCCGGGCTAACTGCTCCCTGCTGGGCGCCAGCAACTACTGAGGAGCCAGAAAGGGTGAGGTGGGCGCTCCCATCAGAACACTGGTTTGTGCCTCAGCCTTCTTTCCAAACGGCCCCCAGTGGCTCTCGGGAGGTGGGTCTTCGTTTAAGGAGAAGGGAGCCTTTTCTGGCAAAAGCGACACTTAGCAGCGCCCAAGTGGTGGGAAAAGCAGCAAGCACACGGGGACACCAACGGAGACGGGTGACAATCAGAGGTGACTAGGGGGACCTGATTGTGAAGGAAGCAAGATGGCGGGGAGCGGAGCTAGGGGGTGAGGAGGGGCTGCCTCGAGGGTCCAGAGGAGGGGAGGGGAGTGACTCGCTGCTCTGCCACTCACCCCCCTGCAGCCGGGCCTTCTCTGCCTGCGCGTAGATCCCGAAGAGGAAGCGGAAACTGAAGTCTTTGAGTTGGCTCAGCCGCTGCATGGTTGGGAAGGAGGCCCAGGGTGGCAGGGCCAGCCCGTGTGTTTGCTGTGTACCACAGGGGGCAGGTTAGCGCCACGGGGGCCAGGCCAAGGCCCGCCCCCCCTGGGAAGGGGAAGGGTGGTGTGTGTGTGTGTGCGCGCGCGCAGGCTAAGGCAGAAAGGGTCCCCGTGTGAGGTTGCAGGGCACAGGGAGGGAAGCTCAGGCACACAAAGCATGACTCGGCAGAATGGACGGCCTCTGTAACCACGAGAGTCCTGGGTGGGGAGCAGGAGGAACTGCTGACAAATAACAAAACCATTTCCCACCGGGGCGTCTTTGGCACCCCAGAGGGAAGTTCCCATTTCACAAGCGGTGGCCTGCGTGGACACCTCCCTGGCGGGGAGAAGGCTCACAGGGGAGACAGCTGAGCAGGCTCACCTCACAGAAAAGAGTGTCGTAGACATTCCAAACGGTCTCCAGGGTCAGGTCGGCCAGCCCTGTCTCGTTGGCCACCATGTCCAGAAATCGCTAGGAGACAGGGACCCGGGGGTCAGCCCTGCTCTGGGGGCAAGGACCACCTGCTGGCCTGACCGCCCCAGCCCCGACTCACTGAATTCCGAGTCCTCTCCTTCTGATACTCTGCGGTCTGCCGGGTCTCGTTCTGCAGCTGCTCGTAGCGGGGACACGGGCCCAGCGGGAACTTCAGCAACTGCAGAGGAAGAGAGGGGAGAAAGACCATCAGGGATCGGAGACTCATGGCCAGAGGCGACCCCCCCCTCCCTGCAGGGCCAGGCTGGCCGGTCTCACCCTGTCCTCAGCGACAGGCACAGTGTGAACGGGGATGGGCTGCCAGGAGACGTTGGGGTGGAAGCGCTGCATCCCGTCCGGAGGGAAGAGCCCGGCCAGGTTGGCCTCGGCACTCATGAGGGTGCGGTCAAAGTCTGTGCTTCGCACGTAAACCTGCCGGCGGGGCAACACTACTGCAGAGAGAGCTCGGGCTCCTCCGTGGGGCCCCAGCAGACTGTCGGGGCCCCAGCAGACTGTCGGCTTTGGCCCTCTCCCCTTCTCTGGCCCAGCCAAGCCTCTTCCCAACCAAGGCCTGAACACTAAGCTGGGGGTGCTGCGAGCAGTCTGGGCTCGCGTGGGGACGGTTCCGCTCCAACTGCCCTTCCTCAGACCCAAGTTCTTAGACAGCTCCTCAAGTCTGCCTGGCTACCTTTATACCCAACACCTGTCTCCCTCATCTACACCGGGCCCTCCACTGCAGCCACTCCCCACACCCTCGAATCAGCGAGTAAAGACCAAGGGAGAGGAACAGCTGTTTGTATAAAGGGAGGAGGAGGAAGCTGTACAGAAGAGGCTGAGCAGAGTCAGCTGGTCCCAAGGGAACAATAAAACCACCTCGATACTCTTGAGGCAGCTGTGGTTGAGGGTGGTTACTGGGGGAACGTAGCCCTGTCCCTGGGGGGCGGAGTGGTGGCCCCAGTGCTTGCCAGTTCTCCCGATGTGCCCTTAGTGTGTCTGTCCAGTGACCCTCGATGAGCCCCCACTATGGCCTCAGCTCCATGGAGACACAGATCACACCTCTGTGGACCACTGCTCCCAAGGGGCAAGCACAGAGCTAGGGCTTCAACGGTACCCCCTGGAGGGAAACTCCAAGTTATATCAGTGTCTGAAACCACTTTGCCTGCCTCTTCCTAAGTCTGAGTCGGAATGGTTGATTGTGCTGTTCCTGCCCCAGGCAACAGAGGCAGCCTGACCTCTAAGGCTTTGTTCAAGAGCTCTAGGAGGTCTTGCCCTGTAATTAGAAAACAAAAAAAACCCAACCCCAACCACAAAGGGATGGAGGTCTAAGAGTGCAAGTTCAGCCTCACCCTTGGGCTCTCTGAGGGCAGTGGGTGGGGCAGGTCCCACTCCCTCTGTCTCCTGAGCTCCCCGCCTTACCTCTTGCCGGTGGTAAGAGGTATTGAGGAAGCCTTGGTAGCGCCTTCGAAGAGCCTGGCCCAGCTCCCAGTGCTGAAGCATCCCCTCCTGTGGACGAATGCCAAGATGAAAAAGGGTCCAAGGGGCCAGGGGGCTCAGGCTCGGGCACGCTGTTCTCCAGGTCCCTGGATGAAGTCCCAAAGGGGCTCATCGGGACCAGAAGTTGTTTATTAAGTAGCTGGTTGTTGGTAGCACTAGCCTGGGCCCAGAGGAGCCTGAGGCTAAGCCACAGGGCCACCATCAGCCTCCCTGTGGGGAAACGGCCGGTTGGTGGGGTCTCAAGTCTCCAGAGGCGGCCCCTTCAGCTCATTCTAAAGAAAGGGCTGGCCGCTGACCTACCTTGGTGAGCTGACCAAACCCCTGTGGCCAATCTTCTTCCTGATAGGGGTCCTTGGGATATGGCTTCACTGGTGAGCGATCTCCATGTCGATACAACTGCGGGAAGAAAAGGCATTTGCCTAGGGGTCAGAAAACACCGTGGGAAGCTCACGGCCCCTCCCCACTGCAAAAGATCCCCACGCGGGAGTCAGTGGCTCCTTCCAGGTCCGGGGAAACCCACTTGGGCTCAGCACAGGGGGCCACAGAGCTAACAGCGGGGTGAGCGCCGGGGAAGTGGGAGCAACGCATTCGGTGGGGAAAGTCGGGAACGGGGTGCGGGTGGGGAGACGCGGCCACAGATTCTTCAAAGGGGGGCTCGCGTCTCCATTCAACCCCATCCCGGTCCCTGCGAACTCCCGCCGACCTGTAACCCCGATGCCAATCAATTCGGAACCCCCGCCGCCAGGGCTCCCCGCTAAACCTCCTCCTCCCCCCGGGGTCGGGGGTGGCCCGAGCCGGTGGGTGCCCCTCCTCCCACCCGCGGCCAGCTCTGCCTCGCCGGCGCCAACGAACCGCTCATTACCAGGGTGACGAAGCGCAGACTGCGGGGCTGCGCGCGGGGCACCCCCAGCAGGGTCTCTCCCAGGAGCTGC